TATAACCTCTGTACTTAGCACCTAAACAATTACAGCAGTAAGCTATAACCTCTGTACTTAGCACCTGTACAATTACAGCAGTAAGCTATAACCTATGTACTTAGCACCTAAACAATTACAGCAGTAAGCTATAACCTCTGTACTTAGCACCTAAACAATTACAGCAGTAAGCTATAACCTCTGTACTTAGCACCTGTACAATTACAGCAGTAAGCTATAACCTCTGTACTTAGCACCTGTACAATTACAGCAGTAAATTATAACCTCTGTACTTAGCACCTAAACAATTACAGCAGTAAGCTATAACCTCTGTACTTAGCACCTGTACAATTACAGCAGTAAGCTATAACCTCTGTACTTAGCACCTAAACAATTACAGCAGTAAGCTATAACCTCTGTACTTAGCACCTAAACAATTACAGCAGTAAGCTATAACCTCTGTACTTAGCACCTGTACAATTACAGCAGTAAGCTATAACCTCTGTACTTAGCACCTGTACAATTACAGCAGTAAGCTATAACCTCTGTACTTAGCACCTAAACAATTACAGCAGTAAGCTATAACCTCTGTACTTAGCACCTAAACAATTACAGCAGTAAGCTATAACCTCTGTACTTAGCACCTAAACAATTACAGCAGTAAGCTATAACCTCTGTACTTAGCACCTGTACAATTACAGCAGTAAGCTATAACCTCTGTACTTAGCACCTAAACAATTACAGCAGTAAGCTATAACCTCTGTACTTAGCACCTGTACAATTACAGCAGTAAGCTATAACCTCTGTACTTAGCACCTAAACAATTACAGCAGTAAGCTATAACCTCTGTACTTAGCACCTAAACAATTACAGCAGTAAGCTATAACCTGTACTTAGTACAATTAGCAGTAAAGCTATAACCTAAACAATTACAGCAGTAAGCTATAATCTATGTACTTAGCACCTAAACAATTACAGCAGTAAGCTATAACCTCTGTACTTAGCACCTAAACAATTACAGCAGTAAGCTATAACCTATGTACTTAGCACCTAAACAATTACAGCAGTAAGCTATAACCTCTGTACTTAGCACCTAAACAATTACAGCAGTAAGCTATAACCTCTGTACTTAGCACCTAAACAATTACAGCAGTGCTATAACCATGTACTTAGCACCTAAACAATTACAGCAGTAAGCTATAACCTATGTACTTAGCACCTAAACAATTACAGCAGTAAATGCTTAGCACCTAACCTCTAGTACCCAAACAATTAGCTATAAACCCAAACAATTACAGCAGTAATTAGCTATAACCTCTGTACTTAGCACCTAAACAATTACAGCAGTAAGCTATAACCTCTGTACTTAGCACCTAAACAATTACAGCAGTAAGCTATAACCTATGTACTTAGCACCTAAACAATTACAGCATATAACCCATGTACTAGCACCAGTACAATTACAGCTATATAATAACCTCTGTACTTAGCACCTAAACAATTACAGCAGTAAGCTATAACCTGTACTTACCTTAGCACCTAAACAATTACATTACAGCAGTAAGCTATAACCTCTGTACTTAGCACCTAAACAATTACAGCAGTAAGCTATAACCTATGTCTGTATAGCACCTAAACAATTACAGCAGTAAGCTATAACCTCTGTACTTAGCACCTAAACAATTACAGCAGTAAGCTATAACCTATGTACTGTAGCAGTAAGTAGCACCAGTACAATTACAGCAGTAAGCAATGTTACAGCAGTAAGCTATATATAACCTCTGTACTTAGCACCTAAACAATTACAGCAGTAAGCTATAACCTCTGTACTTAGCACCTAAACAATTACAGCAGTAAGCTATAACCTCTGTACTTAGCACCTAAACAATTACAGCAGTAAGCTATATAATAACCTATGTACTTAGCACCTAAACAATTACAGCAGTAAGCTATAACCTCTGTACTTAGCACCTAAACAATTACAGCAGTAAGCTATAACCTCTGTACTTAGCACCTAAACAATTACAGCAGTAAGCTATAACCTCTGCAGCACCTAAACAATTACAGCAGTAAGCTATAACCTCTGTACTTAGCACCTAAACAATTACAGCAGTAAGCTATAACCTCTGTACTTGCTTAGCACCTAAACAATTACAGCAGTAAGCTATAACCTCTGTACTTAGCACCTAAACAATTACAGCAGTAAGCTATAACCTCTGTACTTAGCACCTAAACAATTACAGCAGTAAGCTATATAATAACCTCTGTACTTAGCACCTAAACAATTACAGCAGTAAGCTATAACCTATGTACTTAGCACCTAAACAATTACAGCAGTAAGCTATAACCTCTGTACTTAGCACCTAAACAATTACAGCAGTAAGCTATAACCTCTGTACTTAGCACCTAAACAATTACAGCAGTAAGCTATAACCTATGTACTTAGCACCTAAACAATTACAGCAGTAAGCTATAACCTCTGTACTTAGCACCTAAACAATTACAGCAGTAAGCTATAACCTCTGTACTTAGCACCTAAACAATTACAGCAGTAAGCTATAACCTCTGTACTTAGCACCTAAACAATTACAGCAGTAAGCTATAACCTATGTACTTAGCACCTAAACAATTACAGCAGTAAGCTATAACCTCTGTACTTAGCACCTAAACAATTACAGCAGTAAGCTATAACCTCTGTACTTAGCACCTAAACAATTACAGCAGTAAGCTATAACCTCTGTACTTAGCACCTAAACAATAAGCTCTATAACTTAGCACCTAAACAATTACAGCAGTAAGCTATAACCTCTGTACTTAGCACCTAAACAATTACAGCAGTAAGCTATAACCTATGTACTTAGCACCTAAACAATTACAGCAGTAAGCTATAACCTCTGTACTTAGCACCTAAACAATTACAGCAGTAAGCTATAACCTCTGTACTTAGCACCTAAACAATTACAGCAGTAAGCTATAACCTCTGTACTTAGCACCTAAACAATTACAGCAGTCAGCTATAACCTCTGCTATAACCTCTGTACTTAGCACCTAAACATCGTATAACTGTATATCTGTAGTTAAGCCATGGCTAGTGGTTGATTGATTTGAGTGAATGCTTGTGTAATATCGTTGTATGTTTGATTTCAGGCTCAGCCCACCTATATGTTTTTAACATTATTTTTAACATCCCCTGTACATCTATTGTTTTCTGCATGTTTACCTATTCATTGTGGAGTTTTTGTGAGTGATAATAGAGACTCGTGTCCATGTGTCATCAGCACCCCAAATGCCTTGAATGTACTAAAATTGAACTAATTATAATATTCCCTAAAAGATTCATTGTTCAACTTCAAATGTGCACGGTGTTATTCATTTAGGTAATAAGTCCTTTAATTCCACCACGCAATATTTTCATGGCAATATCAGTCTGTTATGTCACTAAGACCTTCCGGAAGCCTTCAACCTGCTCAAGGAGAAAATAGTTTGAAAGCAGAGTAATAGGTGAATGAATATATATAATATGTACATCTTGAGCTTCGATCAGCACCAATTGTTGGACTCTGTATTTTACATGATAAATGTTTACACACTGAAACTGAAGGAATCATTTAGTCCCTTTGATGTGTACATAAACCTTACTGATACCAATGCAACGTAATGAGCTGAACGATGGTCGCCATACTCGAATAGACCTACAATACTCTTTCTCCCGCATGTGCATTTCCTTTTTGAAATATATTATTTGACAAGATTTATTAATACGTTTGCTTGTTGTGCTCAATTCAAAGCTTTTAATGATAGGCCTATGAGCAGATGCATGTACGTCAAAATGCTTATGTAAATGGCATTATTCTTTGACGCCTACACACTCAAATCAATGTAAATATACATGACAATCACATCAATATGGCACACCATTAACACCCGCCGCGATATCGTTTAGGTGGCTTTAATAGTTGTAAAGATCACGGAGGTCTTAGTCATTTGAAATGTAAACAAGGCAGCGGTTATTGCGACACAAACAACAAACACAATCTGTGTTAAACATTTACTGCTGCTAGTGAAATGTTTTACATGGGAAGACAGATGTTGTTTAACGCTGCACTCAGCAATATTCCAGCTATATGACGGCGATATTTAAATAATCAAATTTGGACCAGACAATCCAACAATTAAAAGCATGAGTAAACAATAAGCTAAAACCAAACAAATTACCGTCGTTTTCACTGATGTTAAACATGAATGATTTGCTTGAATCGCAACGTGAATAGCAGAAATGCCTTCTGAAGGGTTGTGGGGTGAGGTGAGGTGAAATGGGGTTTATTGTCGTACTTAAGAATGTTCAGCTCATATGATGACGTGCATGCGTGGGTGCATGTTTGTGTGGCTGCTTGTACTAGCTGGTTTTACCATGCTGCAGTTAAACATGAATACCCCACTCAGATACAAAGATCTCCGAGCCGACCATTACCCATTAATGCCGAGCGCCAGGCAGGGAACAACAAGTACCATATTCAAACGTCTTTTGGTATGACGCGGCGGGCGATCGAACTCGCGAACTTCGCAATCCGGCCGGACGCTCTAACCACCACACCACCGAGGCGGTTTCAAGGGGTGTGAATCAGTGTAAAAACAAATTGGAATTTAAGGGATCACTCTTTAATTATCATCGGTAATAAAGGTTACATAGTTCTAGAAACAACATTGACAAAAAACGTAATGGCAATTACACTCACATTTAATAACACGGAAATGGCATATATTGCAGTCCTATGTGCGTTGACAAGAATTTCGTATTGAAGTCCTATAAACTGACTGACTGACTGAGTATGGTTTTACGACGCTTTTAGCAATATTCCAGCAATATCACCGCGGGGGACATCAGATATGGGCTTAACACATTGTATACCCATGTGGGGAATCGTACCCGGGCCTTCGGCGTGACGAACTGACTGACTGAGTTTAGTTTTACGCCGCTTTTAGCAATATTCCAGCAATATCACGGCGGGGGACTCCAGAAATGGGCTTCACACATTGTGCCCATGTGAGTAATCGAACCCGGGTCTTCGGCGTGACGGGCGAACGCTTAAACCATTAGGCTATCCCACCACCCCTTGCTCCTATAAACAACTTCTGATTAATTAGATAACAGTAAACACATAAACATATATGTTTCATCAACTAAATTTTATATCGTCTTTCAGATGAACCAATTTGCTCAAAATATTGCATATATAAACATGTCTAATCAATACTAGCGTACCATTAGGTTTTACAGTTTTACAGGTTTCACAGCTATCAACCATGGAGGGAGAAAGAAAAACAATACTGAATGTTGTAGAGGACGTTACAAACGGTACGTTGTAAAGTAGATTGAGATTTTTGCCGTTTGAGCAATATTCCAGTAATATCAAGGCAGGGGACCCCTAAAACTGATTTCCAACCTGGGCCTTTGACGTGGCGACTCTTTAACCATCAAGTAAGATTGAAACACCAGACAAAAATGATACCTACAGTTCATGGAATTCGTAACAAGTCGAAGACTAGAGTGGCAAGACGTCACCAGTAGTGCCTGACGTCTTTTGCCATGACAACGATTCCTCATGTGTATTGGAAAGTCTTTGAGAAACCTCAAATGAGTTGAGGTTCATGTTAAATATTTATTCAAAATTATTATTTAAAATATGGAATTATTTTATGTGTCTGTCTATCCACATATGGTGAAGGTGTGGTGAGTTCGATTTCGTCAACGAAAATAACACCGAAATGTTTGAATACTGTTGAAACATTTAGCAACGAAACGATGATCAGTTCAAAGGGAGAGAACTCACAATGGGTACATCAGAACAGAAATCAACACAATTATCTGTAGTGAGTTGAAGCTTGTTAGTTTTGCCTTCAAATATGGAAATCAATCAAAAGTTATATTTCAGAGATATCGAACTTGAATATGGTGTCTGGTCACTTCCTATGACATGGTCAGTCCATATTGGTGAATGTTCGATAGCTTGGATACCAGGTAGTACTGGTAACGTTCATATCTGCTGTCAAACGACTAAATGAATCCTGTAAAAAAGAGGAATGTGTAGAAATTAATTAAACATTATTCTCTGAAACAGGAAACTATGTACATTGTATAATAGCGGTAAAAGATTTACAAAACCCATTGGCTGGAACGATAATTCCATTAAATCTCTTTGGCTATCGTCACCACTTTGATATAAGGGGCATATTTATTGGCACTCGAATACGTCATAAATGTCATAATATAAATTATGTATATGTATAGAGAGAGCATATATATTTTTTAACCATCGTCATTACTTATTATCTATGTTTGAGTCTGTCAGAAAACGTACCCCGCCTATGGAATGATCATCTTCAGATGCCATGTTCTGCAATGGTTGTGACGTCAACATTCTCTTCCTTACGACATAGACAACTATCACAATGACAGCTACCAAGACAGCTGCTCCGACCCCAATGCCTGTTCCCATAGCAACAACTGCAACAAGTAAATTAACAAAAGAATCAGCAAACAATGTCGTACTGGAGGTGGATATTAAACTATGGATTGAATCAAATCCATAAATCTGACATCTTTTCGATGCTCATTTTAGTCACATGAAGTCGTATACAAGTTAAACAATATTATAATCAAATTGATGACGAAAATGGATGAGAATATAAAAGGATTACTACTATCTACATGTATTTATGTTTAACTTACTGTTGGGACCATCCTGTTGGGACCCAGTTATTCCCGTTCCTGGCTGGCTAGTGTCGGATGGTCCTGCAGATGTTGTCCCAGTACGTTCCGCTGTAGTTGCTGTAGTTCCTGGCTGACCACTTGTTGTAGTAGGTGTTTGTCCAGCTGTTGTCCCAGTCCGTCCCTCTGTAGTTGCTGTAGTTCCTGGCTGACCACTTGTTGTAGTAGATGCTTGTCCAGCCGTTGTCCCAGTGGGTCCCGCTGTGGTCGTTGCTGAGACTGACCGACTACTGGTCGTATCCGATGCTTGAACAGGCGTTGCGCTTGCTGATGGAAGACTCACGGTAGACTGTGGCCTATTAGTTGTTGGTGGCGAGCCCCTTGTGGCTGATGTCGGGGATGTTGAAGTGATGTTCGTGGCCGTTGTCGTTGTCGTTGTCGCTGTTCCAGGCATCTCCGTGGTTCTCGGATCAGTTCGTGGCATTCGTGTGGACGTTTCTATCTCTGGTCTAGTTGTACCTTGGCTGGGTCTTGGAACTGTTGAAGTCGTTGGAGGTACTTCCGTCGGGACAAGATACGAACATGTCTGGCAGCAATTCAACAGACCATTGGTGGTCATCAGTGGACATTCAGCTCTGCTGCACCCGTCTGTCCTGTCACCGTATATGCATCCTAAAAAATTAAGAAGCGTTACTGAAAGCTTTGTAAAGTGTTCTCTGTTGAGTAAGATCCGGTTAGAACTGGTCTTATCTAGTTTCCAGAAGACTAGCAGGATCGGGTAGTCCGCCTCGCTGTCTTGGATGATGCATGTCATCGTTTCCCAAATGGGTTGATCTATTCTCAAGGTGTCAACCAATGGATTGACTGATCTAAATTCGATTAATTTCAGATCACGGCCATAAACGGAATATAGCCGTGTGCATCGTTAAACAAAGCGAACATATAGGTTTGATAAGTGATACATCTTAAGTTAATTAATTAGGTCTACATTGTGCATAAGTACACTCAGTTGCCCAAATTATCAGATTATTCATATAACATCTTACGTTACAGAGATATCAGACATGATTACACCGATGCAAAACAAAACGTTTGTGTCGAATACCTTTCAAGTACGTCCTCACAGCTCGACAAGACTGACAACACATTTGTTCTATACTGGTGTCATAGCACAACTTCTTGTCACGCGATATCATATCCGGACACGACATTCCAAAGCCGTTGGTCATCGCAGTGTCGCCGAATGGACAGGAATCTGAAATACAGGTATACTTCTTTATACCTTGTTATGAAAACATGCCATGTTTTGAAAGAGAAAAATGAAAAGAATATTTTCATGACGCAATTTTATCATGTGGTATGTCTAAGTGACTAAAATGCAGTCTTTTAAAGGAAAAAACTAGGTTAACAGGAATAACAGACCAAGGACGATAATCAGGGCAATATATACTGGACAAAATACTTAGGGATATATGTAAAGTTTGAAATTATGAATAATGATCTATATATTCATTGACACACTGATAAAATATTTATCATAAAAATACCAATATCCCTAACTTATTTTGTCCAGTATATCTTAGATTTGAACCCAGTCGTAGAATCCTGAGACACCTAAGCACCAGAGTATTGCTCGTTAAAATATGCGCTTTATTGTGTAAATATATACCGGCAAATACATATACCTATGACACATTATACATTTCACCATATTCTTTCAAAGTGTCTGACTACAGGACTATCAGTTGGACTAGTCCTTTAGCGTAATGGGTAACAGCCTTTGCTTTTGTGTTCTCTCAACCATATAATTTTGTATACAAAACTTGGGTGCCTGACAAATGGTGGGACTCCGTATCAAGGCACTTTACACGCCTTCAACGGAATCAATTGAACGATCAATGAAACACGCGAGTATTGATGTCTACTGAAGTTCTAAAGGTTAAAAGACTCATAGAGAGACGGCTCCCTACAAGAAAACTTATTGAATTGTGTGACTATGTTTTCTATCTATATCAAATGTCGACTGAATCTGATAAATATATTTTTGATATTTATAAATAACAAATAAATCATTGAGCATGAGCTTTTAAGCACCAACGGAAAACACTCTCAACTTACCTGGAGTGGCGACGGCTTGATCAGAAAAGCGACATTCCCCTCTGAGACACCACTGTTGATCAAAAGCATACATATAAGAAACGTATAGCAAGATAATGAGATCATATTGCAAATTTTGTTCTGGGTGAGGTGAAGTGTGGTGAGAGAGTGAGTCGGGTCTGACGTTTTCAGCAATTTCCAACGAGATACCATGCCACAGCCCAACACCGGACCACCCCACCCCCACCCCCACCCCCTCTCCCATACACTCACTCACACACTCCCTCATACACTCACACACACTCTCTCTCACACACAGAGATAGATAAAGAGTGTGTATATTGACGCCGAACTGACCGACGCTTCATGTATCGTTTAACATTATCCTTGAAATGACCCGTTGAGGATCCAACTCCAAATCAGTACACTCCAGTCAGATGGTTTGTCCACTTCTGGATTTTGAACCCAACCATATGGAGAAAAGCAGTCTGGCTTTCCCAGACCCTTATCACAGCATTCATCGTACACGTCACTGATCATTACGTCACATAAAGAATGGTCTTTCCGTATACCAAAAGTATTTGTAATTCCAATGTTTCTCTCTGGTGTCTCCTCATTTCATGCAAATGCAAGGGAGGTAAATCCATGTCCATTATTTTGAGAGCATATTGCACCTGGCGGTTCCTGACCACCTGATCCCGTTAATCGCCTTTTACGACAAGCTTGGGTTATTGGAGACCAAACCTAACCCGAATCTTGACGGGTCGCAATAAAACATCCTGTGGCATTATCTTGAGATAAATTGTATTGCATCTGGCGTCCCTACCTTCCTGTTCCCACACTGTACGCCGTCATTGGCGTCGACGAGAGTGCACACCCTGCTGGAAGGGTCCCTGCACCACATCGCCCGACAGATGCCGCTGTAATCCCCGCTGTACGCATCCTGATACAAAACATACAGGTGACGTCTCTCCGGTGAATTATTCATTATTTGTTCATGTCAGTTATTTACAGTCAAAGTCAAATAATTAAATACACACATTCAAACTCTGACATCCGTTTAAAAGTGTTTAAAAAATGGTTCATAAATGCGCCACCGTTAGGGCTCGAACCCACATAATACGATTTGGATATCTTTGAAGCAAGAATGGTGAGAAATCAACATTGTCAAATAGTTGTATAGTGCTGATAAGTTAAATATATGTAAATAGTGTTGAAAATATCAAACTAAGTTCTAAACTGTCCAATGTAACAATAGCCTTGATTAGTAAGACTATAATCATAGGAGTAACATAACTATGCTCGGGCTTCTACATTACGTATTATTTCCTGTCAGTAGGCCTCAAAACGTGTCGGCGATGTATTCGTTATTTGTCATTAACACCGCGGAGTTATACTTCTAAACGAACATCAACAGCATGGCAAGATGGGTACCGACTGGCTACCGTCATTGATTTCTAGTATCTCTTCGAGTTGAGATGACTGTTTCCTCCATGTTTACTCCTATCATTCCCAACTGTACAGTCCCAGCCACATTTGTTATAAGTACATCCTGTAAAGGCTTTACTAATCCACAAACCTGACAACTGTTTAAGAGAAAAGAAATTTTGTTGAACGATTGTCTTGTAACGAGAGGGGTGTGATTGGTTAAACGCCCTTTAACCCTGGGGCTCCTTTCACGAAGCAACCTTTACTGAGGTTAACCTTAACTCCCATTCTTAAACATTGCACTAAGGTTACCTTAGTGACCTACGATCACCTTAGTGCTTTGTGAAAGGAGGCCCTGTTTAACATTTCCTGGGTCCCGTTTCGCAAAGCTATGGTAGCTCGACGACTGTCGAACCTCCTATACTGTAGCATACACTTACGACAGTCGTAGCGCTACGATAGCTTTGTGAAACTGGGCCCTGACTCGGTATTTCTTGTCTTACATGTGCTTAAGTATTCAATGTGTTAAAGACATTTAGGCAATAAGTAGTCATCCACATCGGTGCCTGTTGTACTCCCCTTTTGGTTCATCCGATTCTTTGTGAGTATCACTCGGAGTTTCTGCTCTGATTGGCAAACCTTAAACACGAGGTTCGGGCCAACAACTTTACAGTGAGCGTTCGGTATTTATTAGGTACTTAATGTTAAAGGCATTTAGGTAAGTAGGCTTCAACATTTTGCTTTTATTATTATTTCTACATGTGTTTCTTGTAAGTAAATCCAAAAAAGGATTAGGGCAGGAAATTACATTAAGCTTTAAAATCAGGTATATCAATGATTTGATATTGTTCAATGACAGACAACCAAACAATTCCATTCCACTAATCTATCCATTGCCTATTATTAGTTTAGCCCATTGCTAGAAATTCAGATTAAAAGTGAGAAAAAAACCATCACAAGACTCTTTGACAAGATAGATAACTTCCCCTTTCCCTTCACGTCGAGTAATATTCCAGCAGCTCCAGGCCATTGGTGTCTATAAACGACAATGTCCTATTTTAAACAACCTTACACATACATATGCCTAGTTATAACGGTATATGAATACTTACTCGACACAGATATGATCCCTCGCCTAGTTGTGTCACACATATGTCATCCGGGTTCTTGAACGTATCTGGCATCCATTTCAGAACGATGTCCAACTCATCAATGCTGAGGATGTTCTGTCGACCGGGCCCACATCCGTCGAAAGGGGACGGGGTAGCGGCTGAAGACAATTTATGTCAATAAGCAATGTAACTCATGAAATTAATGTGTCACGTTGTTAATGCGATGCAGACAAACAGCTTAAAATGCGTGATGAAATTAATGTGTCACGTTGTTAATGCGAGTGCACATAAACGGCTTAAATTGCGTCATGAAACTCATGCGTCACGTTGTTAATGCGATGCAGACCAACGGCTTAAAATGTGTCATGTTGTCATGAAGCTTAAAATGCGTGATGAAATTAATGTGTCACGTTGTTAATGCGAGTGCACATAAACGGCTTAAATTGCGTCATGAAACTCATGCGTCACGTTGTTAATGCGATGCAGACCAATGGCTTAAAATGTGTCATGAAATTAATGCGTCATGTTGTAAATGCGATGCAGACAAACGGCTTAAAATGCGTCAGGAAATTAATGCCAGGAATGCTACATTTGAAGTTTTTGAACAGTCATCAACAAAACATATCAGCAAGACAATAGACGAGGGTTGTGTGATAGATTTGCCAAGAACCAAAACAGCAATCGAACACGGTTGGTGGCAATAACAGCGACCACACTAACCATCTGGTGACCAATTAGATTCTTTATTGAAGCTTTTTTCTGTGATGTATGGCATAATAATATTATCTATAATAGAACCGATATGGGAAAATCATATTCAATTACTGCTCACTGAGCTTCGTAAGAATTGTTACACTGTTTGCGAAATTGTCCAAATCAACGTGACGTCATATGAACGAAGTAACCCGAAAGATGAGATCATTTGTTCCAGACGTCATGAAACTTCAATTGTTTATGAATCATCATGTCATTTCAACATCAGACTTACTGAGCTGATGTCTACATTTGAAATTAAAAAAAACATTTTTCTGCATTTTCACAGATAAGGACAGGGTAATATTGAGATAAATCTGTTAATGGGTAATTGCGGATTGGTTTAAACATATTTATTTCATGAAAAAGCAAAGACAGAATTTTCATGAACTGGATTGGTCAACAAGCTCAAGAGAACTTATATGAAGACCGCTCCAATATACATAGATATATGAAACAGTATTGCGGATTATCTGTCATTGGTGAAGGCACGGGGCATTAAACAGTAATTCTCGACTGACAAATCAATGATTAGTAATTACACGTCATTCACAGATTGTTCATTGCCTGTGTTTGTAAACCTGAAGTGTCAATAAAACACAATTACCCATGCTCATGATTCGGTAATGGGGCGTTGGGGTAGCCTAATAGTTAAAGCGTTCGCTCGTCACGCCAAAGACCCAGGTTCGATTCCCCACATGGTTACTATGTATGAAGCCTATTTCTGGTGTCCCCTGCCGTGATATTGCTGGACTATTGCTAAAAGCAAAACCTAACCTCACTCACTCACTCACCCACTCATAATTCGTTACCTTATACATTCACGCATATTTCGCATTTAGCTCATGCTGAGATTGATTTCATAATTAACAGTAAAATGCGTTGTTCCAGAAAGAATTACTAAATTATAGATATCTTACTGACCTATGCGAAAAGTCATAATTTGAATGCACACAAATTGAAACACTGAGTACTATTTTCATTATAAATGCTGTTTTAGTACCTTCAGAAATAACTAATTCTCTCAGTAAAGTGGGCGTGGATCCTTAATTTACGACATATGCATTCAACTATGTAAATTGATCCACTATATGATCTACAGTAGAATTTGTCCATGTATTTCGATGCGGTGGAAGTACTTAGGCCGCACCAAAAAGCTTAATTATGCAAATTGACCATTGTTCAAGGATTCCTTGCAGTTTGATCGAACACGACATGTATTTACCTTCTATTGTAGGAATTCTTGTACAGTGTATTTTGGCAGATAATTATGTAATACTATATTGATCAGTCTGTAATAAAGTTGCCATGTAAATCTTCACAAGAGCAAATTAAATATGGAATATATCCCCGAAGCGACAATGCTAATATTGACGAATGGCAGATAATACCCTTCGATGAGACGTACCTGGCACAAACACTGTTTACACATCACAATCGGGTAATGCAATGACCTCGTGCAGATACACGCAGATCATTCTTATTTCTTGTATTTGAGTCCCCCTTTCATTGTACAGTTAACTACCTTTATAACGAACTCGTTTATAACGAATCGACGGATGTAACGAACTGGCTTTATGTCCCATCCACATGCTGTATACTTTAGTCGAAATACATACAACGAACCACGGTTATAACGAACTAAAAGTAGTGTTCCATTTGAGTCCTTGTGCATATTGTAGTCGAAATGCATACAACGAACCACGGTTATAACGAACTAAAAGTAGTGTTCCATTTGAGTCCTTGTGCATATTGTAGTCGAAATGTGTACAACGAACCACGGTTATAACGAACTAAAAGTAGTGTTCCATTTGAGTCCTTGTGCATATTGTAGTCGAAATGTGTACAACGAACCACGGGTATAACGAACTAAAATTAATGTTCAATTTTAGTTCGATATAACCGTAGTTTCCAGTAATAGTTATATCAGCCCCACATGATGCAGGTGTTTGCCATTTCAGTGGAAGCTAGGATCACGGGTTTGGTGCTGACAAATGCAGAAACATAATCCTAGAGAACCAGGATTCGACCCGACGGTTATACTTTCTTGGCTCGACTAAGGGACACAATTCTACATAGGTAATACGCAATCGGGATACGATGATATGTGTCAACCAAGTCGGCGAGCCTGACCACCTAATCCCGTTAGTCGCCTTTTACGACAAGAATGGGTTACTGAATATCAATTCTAACCCGGTCCTGTACAGGTACGCATTGTTAGGTCATTCATTCACAGTGTACATGCTTCTCAATTAAAATCATCATCACCCCCACTAGCCTTAAATTATTAACGGTCCTTAAGGAGAAAGAAGTTGCTCATCCATAAAGTATGACCTTATTTGTTTGTTTGTTGGTTACGTGGAGATAAGAATAGTCACCCCGTAGGTAGAGGATGTTTAGACACGAAAGGAAGCACGTAGGCTGGCATATACAAACAAATATATTTGTATGTATACGGCTAGTAAAATGTACAGGTGTATTGGTAGATATGTAGGTACGTACGTGGCTAAAAGGCATGTAAATACAGACGGGTTGATAACTGTTGGTATTCGTTTGGGTTGAATGGGGGGCTATGTAGGTATACATGTGGATAGAAGGTTGATGTTAGGTTAAACATATGTAGGTGTATACAGTGGGTAGAAGTTTGGAAGCAAGGGTATAGATAAGTAGGTATACAAGTAGGTAGAATGTTTGGAGCTACGGTATAGATACGTAGGTATACATGTAGGTAGAAGGTTGGGAGCTAGGGTATAGACACGCAGGTATACATGTAGGTAGAAGGTTGGGAGCTAGGGTATAGACACGTAGGTATACATGTAGGTAGAAGGTTGGGAGCTACGGTATAGATATGTAGGTATACATCTGGGTAGAAGGTTGGGAGCTAGGGTGTAGATACGTAGGTATACATGTAGGTAGAAGGTTGGGAGCTACGGTATAGGTATGTAGGTATACATGTAGGTAGAAGGTTGGGATCTAGGGTATAGATACGTAGGTATACATGTGGGTAGAAGGTTGGGAGCTAGGGTATAGATATGTAGGTATACGTGTAGGTAGAAGGTTGGGAGCTAGGGTATAGATACGTAGGTATACGTGTAGGTAGAAGGTTGGGAGCTAGGGTATAGATATGTAGGTATACGTGTAGGTAGAAGGTTGGGAGCTAGGGTATAGATATGTAGGTATACATGTAGGTAGAAGGTTGGGAGCTAGGGTATAGATATAGTATATAGGTGGAAGGTATAGATGTAGGTATACAGGTAGGTAGAAGGTTGGGAGCTAGGGTATAGATATGTAGGTATACATGTAGGTAGAAGGTTGGGAGCTAGAGTATAGATACGTAGGTATATATGTGGGTAGAAAGTTGGGAGCTAGGTTGTAGACATGTAGTTGTACATGTGGGTAGAGGGTTGGGGGCTGTAGGTAGATGTGATATTTAGTTATGCGAGTGAGAAGCTGTGTGAATATTATAACATCACAGACTGTGTGCATGAATCAACGACTGGGGACATGGAAGGGATAAATGATCAACCGAGGACATGGGCTGTATGCAGATATAAAGACTGAAAACAAAGAATTTGTGAATATGTATACAACTGTCAAAATAGTTTGTACAAACATCTTAACACTTGCGAAAACTCTTATTTAAGTTTTGTTTTTAAGTGACCATTGATAATTCTCAATTTGGGACAGTTTGACAATTTGTAAATTTGTCCATAAAATCAATTTAATTATGAAAAGGTAATTGCTATGATGGTGATTGTCCACTTACCAATCCTTGTTTAGTCCAATACGACCAGTTTCAAATGTTAATTTAACTGGGTAATGTTTTCTCGCACCATACCAACCTTGAGATGAAGACACATATGAAAGGTGTGTTACTGTGCTAAATCATGTGTGTCCTCGTCTGTACTTTCTTCGTCCAGAGATATGTGGCGATTCGTACACTTGAACCGAACATCGTCGCAATGTCTAAACACGTCATTAGACAAACATATTTTAAGAAATTGAAAAACATGTACAAACCTTGGGTATATAGCACTACATGATGAAGTAAAGTTATGCCGACGATAATCCGGATTCCGGGTGATAATCCACTAAAATGTACTCTACAATAATCCTTCATTGATTTATGCTGTCGCCTTTACATCATGAATCTCTGGGCCCATGCGTTGTACAAAATCCGCAGTCGCTCTCTGGTAAACATAAACCACTTAACCAACAGGCACGGAGAGGCCAAATATGCCTTGTCAGGGTATACAATCGACCCCACCCTGAATAAGTCTCGTTTACATACACAGGCGCACGATGATCATTTTCTACCCGAAGTAGGCTAGTCAAAATCGTGACGCATTGTCACGCCTCCTGTGAAATCATTCTGGGGTATCGTAGAGTGCATAAAAAACCGGTTTGTAACGTAAAGCTGTGATCAACCGGTTCTCTGTGATCTTCAGTGTGGGTCTTAATCTTGTTTATCAAACCGGTTACATCTGACCGATCCGGTTTGTGTGATACGGGTATGTTTGGATTTGTGATCAAGCTTTTTGTCCCGCCGGTTTGAGTATGTTTAGCTGACGTCGATATGAATAACTAACTTTGAATGTATGTTTGACAGAAACATATCAGCTTAACCATTATGTCATCACTTTGATGGTACACACGTGTAGTGCAAAAGCCTTTGGCATAAAGCTGTATCATACGAAAATCAAAAGCCAAGTGAACCAGATCTCAAAGGAAATGTAAACAAGATTGTACAATTATCAACGCGACGACCTTGCCAATGAGCATTCCAGGACCTGTAGCTATTATTCTCAGGTGTGACAGAGTGAGTTTAGTTTTACGCCGCTTTTAGAAATATTCCAGCAATATCACGGCGGGGTCCACAAGAAATAGGCTTAACACATTGTACCCATGTGGGGAATCGATCCCCGGACTTCGGTGTGACGAACGAACGCTTTAGCCATAAGCCTACCCTACCGCCCCTATTATTCTTAGGAGGCACCGTGCAGGGAAAATTTAAATATAATTCGTCGGAATCCGATAAACAACCAAACTACGGAAGTAATGGCTTGAATTACAGAACTGTCAGGTCAGCGATGTTTCAATCGGCCATTAAGAACTGTCAATACAGATCCAAATGAAACCGGTTTCTCAAACAGTGGCGTAACTACATTTACCCCAAACAAAATAACAAATGCCTAAGCATTTTAGCTTGTGTACTTTTACGACAATCCGGTCCGCCCAGTAGAGTTATTGTCTTTTGCATCAAGGGAAGCTACTCTAACCATTGTGTATGAGCCTTCGCGTTTGTTCGAAGTCTGGCTGGCCTGTCGTCACCTGGTAATAGCGATGGGTCAGCTGTACAATTCAGACATGTTCTGATCAAGTAGGTTGTGGGGATAATCACACACGGCGCAGAAGTCTACAAGCACATATATGACAGCCGATACCGCTTGGGTATGGTCGTGTCCTGGATAAATTGTTGCGCAATGGATATCTCCAATTTGCCCAAACTTGTATAATGTCTCTGCTTCGTCGTCATTTTTGGCACTGATTTTCGGGTTTTTTAATACCCCACAACGGCAGAGCACACACACACACACACACACACACACACACACACACACACACAGACAGAGAGAGAGACAGACAGACAGAGAGAGACACACACAGAGAGAGACACACACACGGACACACACACGGACACACACACACACACACACACACACACGTAATCGCTGCATTCACAGTAAATTTGCAAAAATACATGTGCTATGACCTTGCCCGCCACATGCTAAGTTATTTTGGACAAATACAAAGTTAACATGCCAAGTTTAATGAGTTATATCACTATAACAGAATTTTTGGAACATTAAATAATATAGATCATGAGCCATTGTCTGATTCGGCTCCACCCAAAATGGCGGCAACAGAGTGATTGTGATTTCATACGTTTAACCATCCATCACTACTTGTTATAATATTACCCGTTTCACGGTGCTAGTCATTACACTGGGTCATTGTCTGAAAAAAAGAAGGCCTATTTTCTGTGTTACTTTTAGTATTAAACACGAACGAAATGCAACAAGTTCTGGAGGTTTAAATTCCGAGGACAAAACAATATTTACATTTCAGCTTAGTTGGAAAACAATCACATAGTCAAATATGACAGGTAACACCCATGCCTAATCTTGTGCAATGTAAATAATGACAAGGTTTACTCTAATCGCTGCGAAGTATCCCCTTTCGCAAATTACATTTCAGCAAACACAACTGTGAACCGTACTGCAATCAGCATAGATGATTTAATCGTTTTCATCAACTTTTAGATGTTATTACAGCAATATTTAACAGATTGTTAGATGAGTTCTATGAAATTTAGGTGGACCTTACTCTTGATGCTTCTGGACACGTTCGCCTCTATGTGACTGGAAACTTTAGTACTACTTCCGTGCAGCAGGACCCGTGAAGATCTGGGTTAGAATTGGTCTTCAGTAACCCATGCTTGTCGTAAGAGGCGACTAACGGGATCGGGTAGTCAGGCTCGCTGACTTGGTTGACACATGTCATCGTATTCCATTTGCTTCGATCGATGTTCATGCTGTTGATCACTGGATTGTCTGGTCCAGACTCGATTATTTACAGACCGCCGCCATATAGCTGGAATATTGCTGAGTGCAGGGTTGTAGGGTTGGTTAAGTCAATACCGGGATTCGAACCTACACTCAGTGAGGCACCTAATCGCCAGCACACAAGGTTTGATTGTTTGATTGTTTGTTGTTTAACGCCGCCTTCAGCTCTATCCCAGCTGTATGGCGACAGCACAGTGACCCATCTAACCCACGGCAACCTCCACAAAACTGGAAGTCTTTAGATCGGTAGCCTACACCACGTACATTGTGTACCCATCTGAAAATAGGTGAAATGTAACTTATGTTTGGGTTTCCTTTTCTTGGTAAAGTACAGATTCTAGTGCTTTCTGATTCGGACTGCCACAATGGCGTAAGGCATATTCTGTAGCAAGTACGTTCACTCGCTCTGATGAGTTGGTGTCATTGTAAAGGACCAGGAGGATCTGAGGCTGCTATGTTCTAGTCCATTGTATCCGCCCGGTCCTGAACACAGACCAATAGTTTCTTTGTTATGGTTAATGGTTCTTGCACACTTCATCATAAGTGAAAGAACGGTTGGTGCAGAAGCAGATCAGCTAGCACTGTTACCGTGAGGCAGTCGACTTGCTCAATACCTCAAAAGAACAAAATATATGGCACCGTGCCATCATGTTTTCTTTGGAGTGTGTTGTCCCGAGAGTATATTGACAGTAGTGCTGAGAGTTTATGCGAAAGACCTGTGACGTTGACACTACTTTGTCCTCTCTGAAATGCCTCAGTTCAAGGTCAATTTTGCATGATCACTCCTGGTACCGTGCTGGCGTCTACAGGGGATACGGCAATAAATAGAACCCTCTCCATAAAATATACCTTCCATAATATAACCTACTACATTTAATTAAATACCCAGCGTCTCGACCAAAAACAAAACTGAAACAAAGAGGCCCAGGCCACCTTTTATTAAGTTCAAAAACCCAAAAGTCCAAAAACAAGGCACCGCCAAACCTCATAAATAAGGGATGGCAAAGCTTTATGGATTGTCAACTTCATTATTTTCACAATAGCGACGTTTCGGTATAGCTATACCGTTTTCAAGGATATGCTTAAGGTATTGAATCTATACCGAAACGTCGCTATTGGCAAAATATAGAAGTAGATCATCCATAAAGATTTGTCATCTCCATACCACAAACTTCTAGAATGCTACTCAAACAACTCTTAAATGAGTTCTAGGGAATAGTTCTTCAGACGGTCATGTCAAATCACACAACCTTTACAATCACAGCACCATTTCCCATTTCATGAAAACAAGCAGTGAGATAGATTTTACAACTATGGTCATATCACCTACAAAAACATATCTGGACAGGAACATGTCAACATGAATTTTAATATGTTTCGTCTGAAAATTAAATTTTGCTTCCTTTATACTTCAATTTTAACTTAAGTTGGTTCCCTTCCATATGCATGTTTCACGGGAGGCACATGTGCCGGTTGAGAATCGGTGTGGAATTGTCATAAGGTTACACTCGCATGATGACGTGGAGTGAGTATGGTTTTACGCCGCATTTAGCAATATTCCAGCAATATAACGGCGGGGGGCACCAGAAATGGGCTTCACATTGTACCCGTGTGGGGTATCGAAGCCGGATCTTCGGTGTGACGAGCGAACGCTTTAACCACTAGGGTACCCCACCGCTCCGTGATGACGTGGAATGAGATGGGGTCGGTTTAATATGATTGCACACACATATTGCTTGTTCCAGGAGGAATTCTGGCGGTGCCATAGTGCTAGTCCATGAGGTACCGCACTTAAACATTTTAAACTCATTGGTCTGACTCCGTGCTGCCATGTTTCCTCCCAATGATACCGAACGCCAGTGTAACAAGAAATATCATCTACCAAATCACTTATGTCTCGGACAACCGACCTCTCAGACGCTCTATCCACTACATCACCGAGACGGTCGCCCCTCTTGGGTAAATAGAACATGACGACGTCAACGGGGACTTAAGGTACATCTGCAGTACTGACAGAGTGGTTCCGAAATCAGATAAGATACGAAACAAGTTGTTGTCTTCTGAAGCGCCTCTTCTCCAGCACCATCATCAACACGCTAACTCCACGCTCCACTTTATTTACAAATATGAACCAGTTATAGAAGAAATGACATAAAGCGTTCGTAAAGTTACGACCTATCGTATCTCTATAATTTATCATTGGCTTACGAATGAAATATGCAGAGTGCTTTACGAACGTTTTGTGGATCGGTCCCCTGGGCCCCGATCCACAAAGCGTTCGTAACGTTACGACCTGTCGTAACTCTTTAGTTAAGCATTGGCTTACGAATGTCGTAGCGCTACGAACGCTTTGTGGATCGGGACCCTGGGGTGGTAACAAGTCAATGAAACATGTTGGGAGGTGTACAAGCTGTTCGTCAATGTCCCCAATTCAACATTGAAATGTAGTTCATGCCAGTTGGACGCACATATAAACAGAACCACTAGAACTGCCACACAGCCGTGGCATTGAAGCCAGAACCAAACATGACGAAATTAACAGTGAACGGACGTGAATCTTTCGCTACGAGGATCTGACGGGAATACAATGTTTTGCCTCTACCAATCCGCAAGACTTTCTCATTCCATGTGATCCAGAACAGACGGAAGGTATCGCAGTCAAGTCTGCTGAAGGTTTTATGAACCAACACCACAGGAGGAGCGCCTGGCCATACC